CGTAACTCAAAATTAGTGCAAAAAATAAAGGAAAAGGTAGAGAAATAAAAGTAATTAAGCAAGCGACAAGAATACCAACAACAACAACAACAAAGCCTTAATCCTACTACGTGGAGTCAACTACATGAATCCTTTTTCTCCATTGCGTCCTATTGAGTGTCATATTTTCATTTAATTTTAATAAATTAAGATAATTTTTTGTACAATAAGCCCAAGTCTTCTTAAGTCAACCTCTGTCTTTCTTAACATAAGTCGAATCTAAAATATCTGCTCTCCTAATATGATCATCAGATGGTCGACTTTTAATGTGACCAAACCATCTAAGACGATTATCTGGAGTTACACTAATCCTATCACGGATATAATAATTTCACAATTTGTCTCTAAGTGTAAAGCCTAAAGCATTTGTCTCTAAGTGTAAAGCCATTCATCCACCTAATCATTCTCATCTCGACAACACTTAACTTAGTATTATGCTTCTCTTTTAAAGGCCAACATTACATTCAGCGCCAGAGTATTGCAGGTCTCACCACCATCTTATAATATTTTCCTTTCAGTCTAAGAGGTACCTTTTTATCACATAAAAGACCCGAAGCATTCCTCCACTTCAACCAACCAACTTGAATTCTACTATTAACATCCTCATTTATAGCACCATCACACCATCACATCATTTATAGCACCATCACATTGAACAATAAACCCGAGATATCTAAATCGTTCACACCTTTTAATAATTTGATCACTTCTGTCACTGGAGCTATTACAACTAAAATTACATTCCATGTATTTAGTTTTAGTTCTACTCAAATGTAGGCATTTACACTCCAAGGTAGACCTCTGTAATTTAAGTTTTTTCCTGGGTTTTTTCTCTCGTCTTATCCACGAGAAGGATATCATCATCAAAAAGCATACACCAAGGTATATACTCCTGAAAATGTCCAATAAGACCATCCATACAGCCACAACAACAAAGCTTTAATCCCACTACATGGGGTCGGCTACATGAATCATTTTTCTCCATTGCGTCCTATTTAGAGTCATATTTTCATTTAGTTATAAATAATTAAGATTATTTTTAATACAATAAGACAAGTCTTCCTAGGTCCACCTCTGCGTTTCTTAACATAAGTCGAATCGAAAACATCTACTCTCCTAATTGTAATGTGACCAAACCATCTAAGACGACTTTCTCTATTTTTTTCTGTCACAGGAGCTACACCAACCCTATCACAGATATATTCATTTCACATTTTGTCTCTAAGTGTAAAGCCACTCATCCACCAAACCATGTAAGACGACTTTCTCTAAGTGTGGAGCCACTCATGACACATCAACTTAATTCCTCTATAATTTGCAAACTCTTGTGCATCCCCTTTATTCTTAGAAAAAGGGACCAAAATACTATTCCTCCACTCCTCAGACATCTTTTTAGTTTTTAAAATAATATTAAAGAGTTTAGTAAGTCAAGAAAGTCCCAAATCTCCTAAATATTTTCATGCTTCAATTGGGATATCATCAGGTCCTACAGACTTTCCACCCTTGGTTTTCTGTAAAGCTACTTCAACTTCTTTTTTTACTTATGCGGCGATAAAAATGACACGTTTTATTATTATTAACCATATTAAGATTACTAATGTCCGATCGTATTTTCAGAAACAACATTAAAAGTTTATCAAAATAACTCGTCCACCTATGTTGAATATTTTTTTCTAAGAAAAACACTTTTTGATTTTCATCTTTAATACACTTTACTTGAGTTAAATCTCCAAGTAAGACCATCCATAACTAAAGCAAAAAGATATGGGCTTAAAGCTGATCCCTGATGCAATCCAACAGAAATAGAAAAATATTTGGTCAATCCTCCTTCAGTTTGAACAAAAGTAATAGCTCTAGTATACATATCTTTAATGACTTGAATATAGGTCAAATCAATACCTTTCTTCTCAAAAACTCTCCAAAGGATATCTCCTGGAACTTTATCTTAAGCTTTTTCTCAATCAATAAAAATCAAATGTCGATCCTCCTTATTATATCTGAACTTCTCCATCAAACCTATCAATAAATGGATAGCTTCCATAGTAGACCTGACCGACATAAAACCAAATAATACGTCTTAACCTATGTTCAATTACCCTCTCCCATAAATTTAAAGTATGACACATCAACTTAATTCCTCTCTAATTTGCACACTCTTGTGCATCCCCTGTATTCTTAAAAATAGGGACCAAAATACTCCTCCTCCACTCCTCAGACATATTTTTAGTTTTTAAAATAATATTAAAGAGTTTAATAAGCCAAGAAACTGCCAAGAAACTCTCCAAGAAACTCTCAAATCTCCTAAATATTTTCACGCTTCAATTGGGATATCATCAGATCCTACAGACTTTCAACTCTTGATTTTCTTTAAAGTCTCTTCAACTTCTTTTTTACTAACACGACCGTAATAATGATACGTTTTATTATTATTAATGATACTAAGATCACTAAGGTCAATCATATGTTTAGAAACTGCATTAACAAGTTTATCAAAATTTATCAAAATAACTCACCCACCACTCACCCACCAATGTTGAATATTTTTTTCTAAGAAAAACACTTTTTGATTTTCATCTTTAATACACTTTACTTGAGTTAAATATTTACTTTTCTTTTCTTTTTTTTAGCTAGTTTATACAAATATTTTTCATCATCCTTAGTATATAATCTATTATAAAGATCACTAAAAGTAGAATTTTCAGCGTCACAGTTTGTTCTTTTAGACTCCTTGCATGTCGTTTGATATTTTTCCTAGTTTTCTAACGTTTGATATTTTTCCTAGTTTGTTTGATATTTTTCCTAGTTTTCTAAGCTTTTACGTTTAAACCAATTTTTATAACATAACTTCTTATATTTTATCTTTTCTTACACATTATTATTCCACCACTAACAATTTTTATTTATAAAAACTTTTTTTAATTCTCCAAATACATCTTTTGCTACTTGTTTAATAGTGTTTGTTACTTTTTCCCACATAATATTTGCTTTATCATGCACATCTCAAATTTTGAAATATTGAATTTTACTCATAAAAATAATTTTATTTGTCTTTTAGATTCCCCCATCTGATTCTACGAAGATGAATCCTAGTATTCTTTATTTTACAACTCTTCATCTTAAAATATAGAACTAAAAATCAATGTTGCGTACTTAAATCTTCACTTGGAATGACCTTACAATCTTTACAATCTCGACGATCTCTTCTTCTAATAAGAAAATAATCAATTTGTGTTTTATTAGATCTATTCTTATAAATAACAACATTGTCGTATCTTTTATTGAATAAAATAATAGTAATAACAAAATTATACGCTAAAACAAAATCTAAAATGACTCTATCTTCTTCATTAGTCACTCCAAAACTGTAGCCACCATGAATATTTCAAAAATCTTCTACCACTCTACAAACATGTCCATTTAAATCTCCTCCAATAAAAATTCTTTCTTTAAGAGGTATCATTTGTATGAAGTCTTCTAAGTCATTCCAGAATTTTTTTTAGACCCTATTATATCTAAACCTACATGAGGAGTATAAGCACTTATAATATAAAAATCTTAATATCAATAATAATCTTAAAGGCTATAATTCTATCTCCAATCTCTTATCTATAATTACACCTACAACATTTCTAGTGCGACTCTTATCAGAATACCAAAGTTTAAAACCTAAGTTATCAATCTCTTTAGTTTTTTCTCCAACCCATTTAGATTCTTGAATACATAAGATATTAAATTTTCTAAGTCATTCCAGAATTTTTTTTAGACCCTATTATATCTAAACCTACATGAGGAGTATAAGCACTTATAATATAAAAATCTTAACTACTTGAGGAGCATAACAACTTATAACATCAAAAATCTCATTATCAATAATAATCTTAAATGCTATAATTCTATCTCCAATCTCTTATCTATAATTACACCTACAACATTTCTAGTGCGACTCTTATCAGAATACCAAAATTTAAAACCTAAGTTATCAATATCAATCTCTTTAGTTTTTTCTTTTCTCCAACCCATTTAGATTCTTGAATACATAAGATATTAAATTTCCCATGAACCATAATATCGACTAATTTCATTAACCTGTGAAAACACATACATTCCAAGATCCAATCCTAATACTAGTTTCATGGAATAATTTTTTGGTCTGCATTTGTCTATAATGTAGAAACTCTTGCTTAGTTGACACTACACCTGTCCGACAGTGTATCGACCCTTACTTTTCATTATATTCAGGTCATATAGTGTGATCAATCTCTTTAGTTTTTTCTATTTAGATTCTTGAATACATAAGATATTAATTTTTCTATGAATCATAATGTCAACTAATTTCATTAATTTACCATTGAGAATACCTATATTCCAAGATTCTATCATAATATTAATTTCATTAGTTTCATGAACTAATTCTTTTACCCGCATTCATTTGTGATGTGGGTACCCTTACTTATTTGACACAACACCTGGGCGCCAGTGTAGTGACACTTGCACACTTTTTATTGTATTTAGGTCATACAATGCGTCACTTCCAGATGACACCCTAACACTTGCACAATGATTAAAAGGATTCATGACATGATTTTTCGACAAGTTTTACGTTGGTTGTCGACTACATAACGCAACCCTCCACTTTTCATATCCGGGCTTAGGACCGGCAATGGCAGCGACAAAAATACCAACATTTAACATAATTACTCAAATTTCTAAAACATTTTATGTAGCCTGTAATTAAAACTTTGTATGATTATACACAGAAAACAGGAGAAAATAAAGTGATTTCTTCTCTAATAAAAAAAAGCAAGTTATTTTAGCAAATAAAAATATGCAAGTGCCACATAAAGAGTGGTACAACGTACACCCATTAGGCTTGGTAGACAGATGGAACATCGAGATTAGTTCATGGAAACAGACTGTAGAAACAATTAAAAATTAGAAACATATTCTTTCTAGCAGCTTACCTCAATAATCCCTTTACGTGGTGCATGGATCGCTAGACACAAGGAGTAGTCATTTTTTCTTTGTCCAGTGTAATTGGAACTTGTCGATGCTCTGTCTTTGTTAATCAGAGCCTCAATAAAAAGACATGATGCTTCTCGGTACCCCTAAAAGATGTAAAAAATCGTAAACAGTCAAGAAAAATTAAAACCCAAATGTAATGAATTAAAAGATGTACCTTCCAAAGTCGTACAACAACAAGAGCTTGAGTATCTAGCAAAAGAACTCTTCCAAGAGAATCTGTTATCGCAGCTAATGTACCACTAGGGCTGACAGCAAGTTTCTCTCCTTTCCTAGGTGAATCTTTCAAGCACGTCAAAGGTGAAGCTGCCACAAATATGCTGCTAGAAATAAGTACATGACTTGTACTATGCGCATTGATGTTTCTTTCTTAAATTTGCATTCAAGCATAAAATCGATAGCATAAATTGGGTATGATGGTTAAAAACTAGAAAATGCAACTAAGCGTCTGAAAGTCATCCTTAAACATAGCAGCCTTATTAGGATCCAGCAGCATATTGCAGCTTAATGTTCTTATGCATGAATGAATGTCTATTCAAAGTATTTCCAATAGATTGGAAAGCAAGTTACATTCTCAGACCAAACAAGATGCATAATTAGTAGAGGTATCAAATCGGGTTCGCAGGTCAGGTTCGAGTTCGGATCCAATCTGATATTAAACGGGTCAAAAAGTCACAAGCAAACCCGACCTGCTAACCCAAACCTGACCCTTATAACACATTTAACATAAAATAATAGCTATTCGGGTCAATTTTGGATTGACATGTCAATTTTGAGTCCATTTTGAGTTAGCGGATTAGTTTCGAAATACTTTTAAGTTGGCGGGTCAACCCGACACCACACAAAAAATTAAATAAGTAAATTCAGTAAAATGGTGACTTCCAAAAGATAAATTGGTAACTCTAACCAACAAATAAGTGACTTCAACAAACTAAAATTATACAAGAAATTAAAATTCCTGCCTGAGAAAATTGAATATTTATTTATATATTTAACAATACACCTTTTGTAACGGGATGATAATCTAGATATATTTTTTTCTACATTATAAAGCATTTCCCATGGTGCCAATACCCATAGCCCAAACTTATAAATACAAGCCAGAAAAAGCCTGAGATATCAGATCATAGGTACTGAAAACTGTATTTCGGCAACCTAGTCAAATTCCCAAAGCTCTTCACTATAGATTCTATGGCCTTTCTCTTTCTTCCTTCTTCCCTCTTTCTATCTCTACTTTTCTATTCCATGTCCCTTGTAGTTCTTGTTAATAAATATCTGTTGTTACTCAATGATAAATTTGAATCAAACATGAAACTTCTACGAGATAATACAACCAATCTGCCTACACTAAATGTTGGAGAAATAAATCATGCAGTTAATTAACGTCACATGGGCATCCTCAATACTGTCAGATTATAAGAATCCTCAAATCAACAGAACATATTTCATATGCACATGCAAACGAATGAGATATGGCTGCATAATGGATAGATTTGGTTCCTGGGCATAGGCGGTGCTGACATCAACTTTAAGAAAAAAAAAATTAAAAATAAAAACTTAAGTGCTTATTTTGAAGACTGAAATTTCATCAACTACATCAAAGGAAAGTTACTTTCAAGGATGAACTTTATTGAAACCTTAATTGTCAGTTTGCACGCCAAATTCACTTTGGTGGCTTAAAAGTTTCTAAAGCTGCTTTATTAGAAAGGTCACAGGTTTCATTCTTGAACATACAAGAAAATGTAGAATCAGCAAAACTGACAAAAGTTACTGGCCTCAATCTTAAGCATTGCATTCTAGAGATACTAATTAGACAGTAAAGCCCAAATAGTTCAGACTGTCAAACTAAATCTTCCATTATTCTTGTTTCTGAATTTCTCCCTAATGCATTAAAGCAACCTAAGTATATAAGCTTCTCTTAATATTAGTGTGGTTACTACGATAGCAAATTCAACATAAAAATGTAAAATTTCAATAACCATATTGCTTTATGATAAGCTTTCAGTTATTGCAACAGTACAGCCCAAATAGTTCAGACTGTCAATCTAAATCTTCCATTATTCTCGTTTCTGAATTTCTCCCTTACGCATTAAAGCAACCATAAGTCTGCAAGATTCTCTTAATAATAGATGGTTATTACCAAAGCAAAGTCAACACACAAATTTAACATTTTGCTAACAGAATTGCTTTCTGATAGGCTTTCAGTTTTTGCAATTAACTGGAATGAAGCAATACTAACTATATATTGAATAGTTCATTTCAAAATTTAGGGTGCATTTGGGGCGGCGGCGCGCTGCCGACCATAGTTTCAGTTTGCCTGCATTCTCAAAAAACTGCAGGTAAAAACTGCATTCTCAAAAAGCTGCAGCTAAAGCTGGGATTTCCCACCACAACTGGCTACCGGTGGCTACTCGAAAGTTGCGAACTGACTTTTTTTTTAAAAAAAATTTCATAATAACAACCACAGCTTTTTGAACAGTTTCTTCGGCAGCTTCACAACTGCTTTTCAAACAGCTACAACTGCCCCAAGCGGACCCTTAGTTGCTAGAACTACAGTAAAAATATAGAACGCTTTTACTATACATTGAGCGAAGTTGTGTTGTTCATTCTAACCATTTTCAAAATAACTAACACTCCTCTTGAAATAGCTTTAAGTTTCTTTTTCTCCATCATAAAATTGTAAATACCAACAAAATGGCACACAATAACTCTGTGAGAATGAGCCTTTGACTCAATCCTAAAATCCATCCATGATTGTTAACAACAAAAACTCTTCCTTTTTCTGTGAATGAACCATAGAATTATTTAACATACACAAAGGACAATTGAAGAACATACATAATGGAATGTTTTTTGATAGAGAACACCACATAATTTTGAGTCATACATTATCATGATGGTGATTCTTCCAATATAATATAGGTCAGAATGGATAAATCTGTAAATTACGTTTATATGGTCCTGTTCTAGTTGCGGTGCTTGGCAGTAACTTTAAGCTAGTTTCATTATACACAAATTCTTACTTTTAAAAAATAGAATAGAAAAATGGCTGTAGATTGATTGCTATTGCAAATCCTTTTTTCTGCATGCAAAGCCACAATCTCAATCAAAGTAAAATTTAAAAGAAAACAAATGCAACTGGATTCCCACCTTTGGCAAATGGCTGTAAAACCACACGAGGATTCTTCGAAAAGGACTGCTCAGTTCGCCATATCATTTTGGAAAATGATGCTAGGGTTGAAAAAGTAACAGGGACGACCTTAGATAAAATTGCTCCAACAATAGATCGGTTCCTATCCTCAGAAAGCCTGATCACCGGAGAAAGGAAATCAGAAACATTCTAGTTCTATGAAACTACAAAAATCACAACAGCAACTTCAGAAGTAATACTCCAAAAATGATCGACGGTGATCCTAACTTACCTAAAAGCTGAAATTACAGCATTTTCTCCAACAGTAATTGCACAGTAGTAACGTTGACTCGACTGCCCAGTAATAAAAGGAGCTGAATTCAATACCAGCATAGACTCAGAGATTATCCATTAAAATTGTCTATTTTAGCAGAAGAAAAATGGCATTTAGGCAGAAATAGGAAAGATACTACTGAAGATGAAATAACTTGAAAGCTACTAATACGGGCTCTACTCAGAAGAAGGCCATTTACCTGGAGCTCCAGCAATGGAGGAGGCATTATCCCCACAATAGCAGCATCCAAGCATGACCCGTACTTACTTACACTCCACAGCTGGAACGGTATCCTCCCATAGGGACTATCATCTCCGTCCTCGGTGGTAAACCTGTTATTCCACGCCCGGGATCCTTCCTCTTCTAACCATCTTCGAAACAGGCTCTGCGCTTCAATAGAACTCTCATTAAAAGGTGGGAAAAAAACAACAAATTATTTCAAGAAAGAAAAAACAACTAATTATTTCAAGAAAGAAAAAACAACTAATTTCTTGTATAAAGAGAACTCTCATCATAAAAGCATCTTCCTTATTGGAAAATGACCTGTATATCTGAGCCATCGAAGCGAGCAACAACCCCAGGTAAAATAACGCAAAGTTCTTCTGAAGAAGCTGCAGCACCTGCAGCATCTAGGAGAGATTCCCCCCTCTTTTCCCGGAATCGCAACCTCAGAATACGACCGGGATGCACAAGCTACACGAATGCAACAAACATGAGAATGAAAACTAGAAACCATAACAAATTTGGGAGATGATGAAAAAGAAGACTAACTTACCTGTTTGTGGATAAGATCACCCGCTAGAGAGTAAATAAGGAGGAATCCAGCAGAGGAGCCGAGGGCGATAGTGAGGAGATCGGCGAAGGGAAGCCATTCGATCGCCGAAATGCGACCCTCTTCAGCGGAGAGAGATGGGCGGACGGTGGTTCGGCGTCGGGAAGAAGATGGATCGAGTGGAAGAAGAAGAAGGAGGGAGAGGGAAGTGTGAGCTAGGGCGAGGGCCTGTGGGTGTAGAGTGGCTAGTAAGGAAGGGTCTGAGAGCCATCCCTCGCGCTCACCAGCGCCAAGATCTTCGAGCTCGCTGCAAGCGATGCAGCAAAGGTCGGTGAAGTGACTCCGCCGTGCCATGCCGGGTAGAAGGATGAAGCAGAAAGGAAAATGGGCGGAGGGAGAGAAAGAAGACGATGAGATCTGACCTGATTCGAACTCGTTGCAAGTGAATACGCAACTCGGATCTGCGGCGAAAAAGGGCTAGAACCGAGGAGTTTACAGCCCAAAGGCTTCAAACATCTTATTAGTTCAGATAAATAACTTATTCTGATAATTTGTTCATGAACAACTGATCTGAATAAGCTGTATAACTATTTAATTTGTGCGTTTAAAAAATAATTAATTCTGGATAAATGATTATTCTGTCTCTGCTGTAGATAAGATGTTTAGCTATTTGTTTTGTGTGTTTTGTAAACAATTTATTTGTAGATTTTTTTAATTAAATGAACAATCTGTCACGTAGAATTTGTAATTTTCTCAACAATATTAAATTTCAGTTGTCAAGACAAGGAAATACAAAAAAATTGAGTTATATTTACATAACTCAAATATTTCTGATCACATCAAACAAGGGATATCAATATCTCATAATAATGCTTATTGTAATAATGACTGACCTGATTTATCACAAGAAAATATAAAAATTCAATGCTTTTAGTATCAGATAAGTAAAATTTGAATAAACTAATTTGCCATTAATATATATGACAATTATCAGCATTAGATATCTTCAGTTATTAACCTTGGAAGCCTCGTCATTCCTCATCTTCAATTGATCCATATAAATCATTTCCAACTGAATTGTTAAACCAGAAATGTTTTTTGCTCTTCACTAATTTGTATAGCCTAAAAGACCCTTAAAAGGCAATATTTCATAAATTTTATGTTTTAAAAGATTTATCATATTCTAATAGTGATTATCAACAAGGAAAACCTTAATAAAGTAAGGTGATTGTCCATGTAATTACACAAGGTGATTTATCTGAGAATCTTAATTTTCCTTGCATTCCTTGCATGATTCACACAATAGCATAATTTTCCTTGCAATATACTTTTAACATTTATCAACATTTAGATGGTCATCAGACAATAAAGTTGATGGTTCTTTTGCAATCAAATTAAGCTAAATAAATGTGCTCATAAAAGTGTCAGACTACTGAAATAAAGATAGGATCCTTGTTACCTTTACATAACCAAGTGCATATAATTCTTAGTAGCAGAAATTTTCTTTTAAGAGAAGCATACCTGCTGCATAGGACCAGGCCCAAACTATGGGAAACAATGTGGTATTCCTCCACTGCTTTAAGAAACAATCATGTCAACTAAAGTATTCTTTAATGTGTGCAGAATGATGAACAATATTGAATGCATTGAAATTTCAAATTTTAGTAGTAACAGTAAAGGGAACAACAGAATCAGGTGGAGAGCAAGAAATGCAAGTAATGGACAACCTAATCAGGCTTCCAAACAAGTATATTTCAACCTCACTGCACCAAACAAGAACTTTTTTTTTCAGCTTTATTGTACCAATAAAGATCCCAAAAAACTGCATTTCAAAAACATGGAAAACTTCAGCAGAAAATAAACAATTTCAGACATTATATATGATAATTACTAAAAGCAATCGGAGTTCAGCATAAAACCGAACAACAAAGAAGGGAAAAGCGCGCGCGCGCGCACACACACCTACCATTAGTCGAGCTTAAACAGACTTTGGGGAGCGAGCCATGGCCTTCGACAACTTTAACTCGAAAAGAGGGATCATTTTTCTGGTTCACAGAAGCGATAACATTCTCGGTTAATCTGCGGATAAACGATGCACTGCAATGGTGGAGATGGTTCTTTGACACCAAGCAAGAGGACAAAGAAAGAAACGGATGAGTTCAAGTTTGTCGGCTTCAACCTGCGACGCGAGGAAGAGTGTGGTTAGAAGAGGTTGGAACTGGGATGACGGGAAAACCAACTGAGAGGCTCGCCATCATTGTTTAGCTTATGTTTTGCGATGCTGGTGATGTAATGGTAGACGAAGTCATAATTTGTTGGACACCACGGCGAGGTTGGAAAGGGAACGATAACTTTCCTAGGATCGTTTAGGGCATGAGATGCGAAGGAAAAATGCCAGAGTGCGAATGTGTTAAAGGCAGGGTCACGCCAGTCACGGGCGTAATATTTCGATCGAAAATACAGATCGCGAGGGTCGTCCCACGGTTCGCCTCTTTTACAAAATTCAAAACATCAATTTGGATAATCCGAGAATAAGCGCGAACCAAGCATGGTGGCGGCGTTTTCAAAATGCCTCCCGCACTTATAAGTTGCCCCAAACGGGCTGTAAGATTCATGTCTCACTATTTGGAAACTACGTTTGAGTAGAGTATCCGAAAACGCAAATGATTTTTTACACTAAACGAGGAACGCAGGTCGCACCTCGCGGTTCGTGTTTCCAGATAAACAACTTAATTGGATAAGCACAAGCTGCTCCAAACGCATATTCAGTTTGTTGTAAACGGGCCAAGCATGAGCGAGCTCAGGCTGGGCTTGTGTTCAGCTCGTTCGAAATTGTTCGTGTTCAAAATTGGCTCGTGAATAATGTGTTCGTGTTCGGTTTGATTTAAATATTTGTATTCCTGTTCGGCTCGAAATTGACCCGTTAAAATTAAACTGAAAAAAATAGCTCTAAAGTTTTAGATTCGAATCTGGACCAAATGTATGAAAAAAAAAACACTTAACCACATTGCCGCACGAGATGTTACAATTTAAACTTATATATAAATATATATAATATATTATTATATAAATAATATATGTAATATATTATTATATAAATAATTATATAATTTTGTTGTTTCGAGCTAAAACGAGCCTAACACGATTGAACAAAGAGCTGTTCATCTTCGGCTCGTTTATAATTTGAACTTTAAAAACTTGTTGGCGTTCGGCTCGTTTACTTAGCGACTGAGCCGAACACGAGTTATTTAACGAGCTGAACACGAGCTATTCGCGAACAACGAACTTTTATGGCAGAGTATGAAAAAAATATTATATAAAATGCATTCTTAAGTGAGGTTTTATATAAAACGGCCCCAAACGGGCTTTTCATTAAAATATTATTAAAAATAAATTATTAATAAATATTATATATTATTCTAATTAATTTAAATATTAGTAAGTATTACAAACTATTATAATTAATTTATAAATTTATATTACATTAAATAATATTTAAATAATATTAAATTAATCAGTGTATTATTTAATTTAATTTATCAAGTAATATTTATGAGTCTATTAAATTATATCTTATAAATAACAACATAATATTATTCCTAAGAAGGTGACGAATAGTATTCTATCTTACAAATTATATAAATATTTTATAAATATCACCAGGAGAAAGAATAATTATGATGATTTGTATAAGATATAATTTAATAGACTGTCTTATTATCACTCTACCATCCAATAAATTATATAACAGAGATAACAAATACCACTATTCTTTCTCCTAGTGCTCAAGGGTAATAAGCATATGGTGGCTGAGTAGGAGGTTTCATTAAGTAGAATGATATCCAAGATATATACCACTACAAATAATTAGCCAATTTTGGCGCGTCGTCTCTTTGTGGTGGGTTTAATGGTATTGTGTATGCTCGACGAAGATTCCATATCTCGATATAATTATGGTGATTGCATCTAGTTCGACTCTCTTAAAATATTGTCCTATGAGGTCCATAGTATAGACTGAATACTAGAAGGTGTCACTCAATAAACTTCCAACTTATAAGTGAAATGCTGGCAGTCAAAATATTTGTACTCACAAAACAAATCAAGTAGCAACACCATTTAAACACTAAATATGGTGTCCAAATAATTTGGATATCAAGTTATAACTTTAATTATATTTGAAATAAATATTACATAAGAATATGAGATTGAATAGAAAATGTGTAATATATCTGATTTTGTCTAAGTCAGTCAAGTTTGCTCTATACATTTTAATATTTCTAACTGACACTTCACGTATATACTCTTCATTTCATCTATATATTATTTAAGCAAATAAATTTAATCTAATAAATATTCTATGTGTAACATAAAAAACGGATCTACCAATATATATGTTCTCTCATCATCACGCACGAAGCAAGTGCCAACACCTAGCAATAGCAACACGGGTAGGCTTGGTTGATATATTTTATTCTTTATACAGATGTTTCAGCCCTGAGTAGTCCAAAAGAATATCATCCAAATTATTCTAAATTCTTCAGTAATAGTAAATATTATAAGTCAACAAGTTATCTAGATGTATTTAAAAGTAGAAAATAACCTAATATTTATAAAACATAAGCCCCACCATGCATTAAAAAAAAACATGTGGTTGTAAATCCTCGGAAGAATCTCTGTAAAATTGTCAATGGAGCCAATGAATTGGCATGATTGTTTATGATTGGAAGTCTCCCATAAAGAAGTTTGACGTTTTATCATGATTTTGAGGATGGTTGTAGATAAAACCAGTCCCGTGGTGGTCACTTAACAACTCGTAGCAACATGTTGGCCAACACGATCAACACAAATCAAAGCCAATAATCATAAGCCCTACTAAGGCATTTCTATCAACCATAACACCAAAAATTATCTATGCATCTTGTAAAGTGATAGTCATCTCACCTTATAGAAATATACAGCATATAACTTTAAAAGGTTTTAATAATCATAGTAATATGTAAATATGAATGTGAAATTGACTTGCCTACGGGCAAATGAAATGTATTGGTCAGGGGCACCACTACAATTATTAGATATTGGTTTAATTTGATGTATTGTAAGTGCATAACAAAGGCAACACATACAATTCATACAACATAAATAAACAGTGGGCGCTACACTAGCCACTGACTTGCTACTAGTAAGTGACTGATGCTACAAGAATTCTGCCTTATAAAATTAAAATATTTTAATAGTGATATTCATTTCACATAAATTTAATATAAGAAAAGCACTTTGTATAACCTAATTTTTGTTTGAAGTCCAATGTGATTCACTCAACATTGAAATGCTAGGAGGCACATTAGGATGTACTGATAGCCACTTGAACATTGTGTCTAGCATGGCGGTGGTGGCCTCCCGAGCCTGCGACCTTGACAATCTCTACAAAATAATGGAAGTGCTTACAAACTAAAAGTCAAATGTGTATATGAAAATTTTGAATAAAATT